ATTAAAGTTCACCAGCCTTCTTGAACCCCATGCTGTAGCAGAAGTGAGATCCTTTTCAAGTTCAAATGCCCCCTGCAAGCAATCAGAGGGAGTTGGCTTCTTACCGTGACAAGAATAAATGGTAGTATCATCAGCAAACAATGCCACCTTAGATGTGAGAATATCTGGAAGATCGTTAATGTAAATTAAAAAGAGAGGGTCAAAGATTGAACCTTGAGGAACCCCTGAGGTTGCAGAATAAGAAGAAGAGTGCTGTTCATCAAGGACAACTTTTATACTACGATTGGAAAGGAAGGATTCAATAATCTTAAAGATGTTTCCAAATACACTGTAAGAAGAAAGCTTATGGAGAAGACCAGCATGCCAAACTTTATCAAACACTTTAGAAATGTCAAGAGCGATGGCCTTAACCTCTCCACCTTTATCTAATACGCGATAAAACCTATTAGTTATTACTGTTAGCAAATCAGCCGTAGAACGAGAAGATCGAAATCCATATTGATGATCAGAAAGTAAGTTATTAGATTCAAGATGAGAGATTAAGTGTTTGTTAATTAAAGATTCAAAAACCTTGCTTATGATAGGAAGAAGACTAATCGGATGGTAGTTAGACAAATCAGATCACTCTCCAGAATTTTTAAAAATAGGGATAACAGATGCTGCTTTCCAGCAGACTGGAAAACAAGACTCTGATAAGCACTTGTTGAATAGTTTTGAAAGAATAGACGACAGCTCTGGAGAACACTTCTGTAAGACTATAACAGGTATGTTGTCCAGGCCGCAAGCTGTAGAAGAGTCTAAGCAGGAAATCACTTTAGATACAGTAGCTGAAGTGATGTGGATGTCGTGCAATGGATCAACCTGTTTGACAACTATATCAGGTAAAATGCAACTAGTGGAATCAAGAGATGATATTGATGAAAAGTTCTTAGCAAACAATTCAGCTTTGTCTTTAGGTGAGGTGACAAAGTCTGAACCATGCAAAAGAGATGGAATTACAGACTTGCCCTTATTATTGATACTATTAAAGATTCTCCAGAAGTCACGAGAGCCTAATTTTTTGAGATGAAATACGAGATTTCATGATCTGAAAATAGTTAGTAAAATAAAAAAAAAATGTTTCTGTTAAAAGAACATTTATTGGCTCTTGAAACTTTTTTAAACACATTGACTTTCAAAATGAAGTGAAAAAATAACTATATAAACTTATTTTTACATTATATTACCATCAAGTAGCATTTGATTGAATTGTAAGAAATGATCTTTGAGTTTCTCCACAAAAATTTATTCAAAATAGCCTAATATACTGTTTTAGTCAAATGCTCTTGAATATTTTTACATGTAATATTAAAATTCATAATTACTAAGAGCAGTTAGAGATTAAAATGATTAAAATGTTCATTATAAACAGTAAGCTATGATTTTCTGCCTAATCTAATGGGTATAATTATGGTAGCAGTTCTTTAAAGATGCTTACTGTTCAGATTTGTTATGCAGCATAACAATCTTACTTTGGACCCTGGATGATTATTGTTTTGTTTATAGTTTGACCAATGTTTATAAAATTCTTGATGTTTTAACAGTTTTGCAGTTTCAACAGTCTGTTCACTATAGGGCCCCAAGAGGTTCCTTTCTGACTGATGAAATCTTTGATGCGGGAGAAGACAGTGTAAGTTTTGGGTGTTACACTTCGACAGTTATCATTATGTAACGTCTTTTTTCAGCAAAATCGGGCCGAAAGATAAATCTAAAACAAACCTTTGCAACTAAATTGAAACTTTTTAATGCTTTAATTATGTGAAAAATTTTGGGAACCAAATCTGTATCAGTAAGTTGCTGGAGCACATCCAAATTTTTAAGGAGCTTCCTCCATTTGTTGTTCTCAAACTGATGATACAGTTTCAGTTAAATCTGTAGGGCAATTGGCCACTTAAAAGTTTCTATCCAAGCAGTTTTAAGTATCTTGAAAAAATGATTAATAACTCCTATAAGGAGGTGCAATTTCATTGGTGGGATTATTTCCAAAATCAGAACATTGCCAGGCCCACTGATGATTGGATTTCGAATGACAATGCCAAACAACTTTGCACAACCAACAACCCTGCCAAATTGCTGAAAAGACTCCAGGCTAGATTTGATTGAATTTTGATATATGCAAATCCTTTGAGTGCAAATCCTTTGATTTCTTAAAAGCAGGTCAAGCCTTGACCTGCTTTTAAGAAATACTTATAAAAATTTGGCTCTACCATCCTGCAGCTTGATGCTTGACTACAAGTTCTGAACAGCTTCTTTAATCCATTGTTTGATACTTCCATATTTAGTTGTACATTTACAAGAGCTAGAGAGGTCAATTTTGGAGCGCTTGATATTGGCTGGGCACTTCTTCTTCCAACAACACAGAATACTGAGTTTAGGTTTTCAGATAACTTTATCAACATGCTACTAAAAATAACCGTGTTACTAAAAATACACGCAACTCTCCATTGGAAATTTATTTAAAGGTTTGTAATTTTATATTTATTATAATTGCAATTAATAGTAATAAAATATAGCTCTTTATTAGTAATATTTACACTGCAAAACAATGTTTTGCAATGTAAATGCTCTATTATGCTGCATACTTCAGACATGCAGCATTTAAAGTGTCACAAGTTAGGCCATTTAATTACAATAGACTTAGAAATATCAGGCATACAAACTGTTATTGATTCAATTGCTGTTAATAGAATTCATAATTTTTCATTTTCTTATGAAGGCTATCATATTTCTTTACCTGAATGGTTTTTGCAGTGGTGAAAATTAGAATTTAATAAACTGTAGTGTGTTAGAAAAAATATTCAAAATAATTGTGTATCAAGTGATTGGATGCTTCTTGTTGGTAAAATGTATTGTGGGTAAGATGTATTTGCAAAAAGCAGCCCAATATCAAAGATGTAAATAATTGTGTGAACATTAATTTTTAAAGTAGTTGCTTTTGTTTTTATGATTGTATGAAATGAATTCATATGTTGTGAAATCCTCACTTGAAATTTGCATAACAAATTTATGGTTGAGAAAAGAATTAAATGTATTAGATTAATCCACCAATCTGAATTTTAAGTAAAAGCTGTTGTTACAGATAAACATTCTATCAATGTTTATGCATTTTCATAGTTTCGTAAAGCATAATGGAGTTGAAAAACTATTTATTGATCATCTAGTTTTTAAAAGGGTTTCTAAAACATACTTATTATTTAATATACTCTGTTTTATAAAAAATGTAAGAAACTTGTTGAATGCATAAAATAGTTTTCCTTTTTTCTTGTTTTTAAAGACATTACTGCTGGTTACATTGTAAGGAATATATTTCATAAAGTTTATAAAAAAGATCAATTACTAAACAGGAACTAAAAAAGCAAGAAAAATTATCATGACACTTATCGTGGAAACAACAAACAAGTTGTCAACCATACATCAGTAATATTTAATGAAACAACTGCAGCTGCAATATTGAGTTATTTTTATCAAAGAAATAATCCAGTACAATTTTTATCATTGTTTTATAAGTAATTTATTACACTTAACTTAAAACAGATACTCAATACATTCAATTAACTCAGCAATGCTGCTATAAAAAGTGATAACAAATCCAGCTTTATAGAGAAATTGCAAATCAAATTGAATTTTGGTATAAATGTGAATATTTTGCATCAACCAAACAATCTTTTCATGTTATAATTACAACACTTCAAGCAAATCATTTTTATGAATGATTTGCTTGAAGAAGGCTATACATTTGTTCTTACTTCCAGTATAAAAATGGATCCTTTGGAGCTATGTTTTAGTAAGAATAGATAAATGAGCAATGATTTTATGAGTCTTTTAGATATATGCATCAGTGAAAAGATTTTAGCTCAAGTACAATATTTTTTGGGAAGAAAATATTTATCAGGCATTTGATAATCCTAATTTAAAAATAGCATAGCATAAAAGTAGCTAACACTTTTTATGTTTCTAAAAAGTTATAAAAAAAAAAGATTTAGATGTATAACTTTTAATAAAAAAAAACATTGTTGTTAATAATAAATACCTGGAAATATTATACAGAGGAGAACTTATATATCCAAGTCAACCTCTGTCTAATTTTATTTGTCATCTTTTTAGTATTATAGATGTTATTTTTCCTATTCTAATCGAATATTTCATTATAATTAATATTATTTTATTCGATTAAAGGTTTTGAAGAACAAAAATTATGGATTTATTTTAGAAGTGTTAATTTTACAAGTGTGGGAAATTAAATATAGATCTCGTATTGTTAAAAATATTTTATTTTTTTAATTATAATTTGCATAGAGAAATTAATTATTCAGTAAGCAAAGATCTTGTGAAAAAACTAAAAAAACAAATACCCAATAAATATTCCTTGTAAAAAGGTATTTCTTTCTCCTTTTAATTTCAATTATAATAATTGTAAAATTACAAACCTTTTATTTTATTTTTAATGGAGAGTTTTAGGTAATCTTACTAACATGTAAGGCTTTTAGATGTTTAGTAGTATGTCTTTAGTAGCATATATACCTATCTGAAAGCCTATTCTGTGATATTGGAATAAACTGTATTCTGTTGTATTGGAATAAACTGAAGCAGGCTCTCAGTTAGCGAAAAATCCAGCAAAAAAATATTGCAATGTACTATCTTTCAAAGAATATTTAACTATTATTTAACCATTTTATTAAAATAAAAATGAAACATTTAATGTACAAAAACAAATCATAACTAACATAAACCGTAAAAAAATTGCCCTCTTAATTTTTTACGGAAAATGCAACAAATCAGGTCGTGTAATTTAAGTAGGCCATGTTTCAACATATGACATGTTTATTTGCAATGTTTGTCTAAATTTGTTGAGTTTTTTGATCACTCTGAGACATAGTGTGGCGGTAGGTTGATGGTGAATGAGAAAATTATTCTAAATTTGTATGTAGAATAATTTATATATTTAAAAAATATTTTGTTAGATAAACAATGTATTGTTGGAACGTCTTAGCAGTGATTCTATAGGAGTTAACCAAGTAAGATTTTGTTTCAACTTTCCAACTATCTTTTAATAATAATTAACGTCTGTGTTTGTGAATTAGTTAGGTTATATTTATGTTTTTTCCTAGTTAACTCAACAGATGGTCGTGTTGCAGATCGATTATATTGTCATCTTTGTTACGTTAGTTATGGGAATCTTTGGTGGGATATTTGGAACCGTGATTACTTTTTTATTATACGAAAAATAAAAGTATTTATTATTTTGTATTTATTTATTATCAACTTTTTATATTTTATAAGATTAATAATTAAGAATAAAAACTACGCTATTTCATCTTTTTTTATTTTCTTTTTTTATTTGACAGATATTGTTTATTTTTTAGATTTTTTTATATTTTTTCTTGAGTTATAAAAACTTTTGTAAAAGATTTTACGAATATTTTTAAAGAGCTCTTTTATCGTGTAATTCTTTTATCGTGTGATTCTTTTATCGTGTGATTCTTTTATCGTGTAATTCTTTTATCGTGTAATTTTTCTATAGTGTGATTTTGAAAGTACTTTTCTTTTTCATTTTTGATTAAAAAGCATGTGGAAATGATTTATAAAATATTTTTATAAATCATTTGCACATGTGAATAATCCAAAACATCTTAATTGAAACTAAAGTAATACCAATATTCACCAATTCAATTCAACAATTCAGATTGTTCTTTTTAATTTCCCGAACATGACTTAAGTCTTTACCCCAGTTATTTCTTAGTTGAAAACCGCTAGATTGGTATATTTATTAAAATTTCAGATGTTCATTAAATTTTTTTGCTGATTGCAGTATATTTTACATGTATACATATATTATTTACATGTATACATAAAATATTTACATGTATACGTAAATGCAGATTGTACATGGATTGCAAGTGTACTAGTGTTTCTTACCCGAGTATTACGTTACCCGAGTAATTTTTCAAAATTACCCGGGTAATTTCAGGTAATTTTAAGTTTTGTAGTTTTTAAAAATTATTTTTGTAAATAAAACTTTTTGCTTAACATTATTGTACTCACGTGAATGGCATGAAAAAAGTTTTATAATATAAATCCAATTGCATGGCAATAAAATAAAGGGTTCGTCGATAAATGACGTCACGCTTTAGGGGCGGAAGAGGGGTAAAGATTTTATGACGACTCGTACGGAACTTTTTACTTAGGAGTTACAATATTTTGTTAAGGGAAGGCTCCAAAATTACGTAGCGTAATTTATGGACGACCCCATAGATAAACTAGATGTCTAACTTGCGAAAAAAAAGTGAAGCCGCTTGTATTAAATTGAAATTTAATCCGCCACTTATAATAAGAGCAAAAGTTATAACCGACGTTTAAAATGTATGTTGAGAGCATCTAAAGTTCTTAATTTAAATTGGGAACTCTGTTCTATTTAAGTCTTTTAATATTAAGATTAAATTAATTAATTAAAATTATTAAGATTAAATATTTAAGTGACTTAAATGTTTAGACTTTTTTGCACCTATTCCTAAATCAGTCGATGTATGCATACTCTGCACCGCCTACAACTATATAAGTTGATGTGTGTACGCTTTAAGGCACCTATTCAGACTTTAATCTAATAAATGATAAATAATGGGTAGTACTATTAAAATTGGCACTATTTAAAATAAAGCATAAAATTTCACGAGAAAATGCGTTTGAAATAAACGCATTTTTTCGTAATATTTTATGCTTTATTTCAAAAAACACTATTTTTTATTAGTGTTATTAGTGTTTATGGATTATTATTAAATTTTAACTATAATTAAATGTCATTTATTAGATTTAAGTCTGAATAGGTTTCTCAAAGCTTACCCACATTAACTTAGCCGTAGGCGAAGCAAAGTACGCATACATCGGCTGATTTAGGAATAGATGCGGCAAAGTCTAAATACGTAGATTGACTTAAACAGGGATAGAAAAAATAAGTGTACATACACCAACTGACTTTGATAGAGTTAGAGGTGTAAAGACTGTAAATACATTAGCTGAGGGCTTTTGTTTGGGGCAGGCATTTTGTTATTTAAAAAAAGATCATAATTTTTCTGTAAACTAGCGGAAAAAAGTTTATAAAAAATAAATACTACATAATTTAAACTATTTTTTAAACTACCAAATATTTGCCGGGATATATATCTCGGTAGATATATATATATATATATATATATATATATATATATATATATATATATATATATATATATATATATATATATATATATATATATATATATATATATATATATATATATATATATATATATATATATATATATATATATATATATATATATATATAATATATCCCGGGATATATATCCCGCGAGCAACAATTCGAATGTAATAAATATATATATATATATATATATATATATATATATATATATATATATATATATATATATATATGTATATATATATATATATATATATATATATATATATATATATATATATATATATATATATATATATATATATATATATATATATATATATATATATATATATATTACATTTGAATTGTCGCTCGCGTTGCCGGCAATTAATCTCAAAATTATTTGCCGGCTTGCCGGTAGCTACCGCTTGCCTTTTTGAATAAAAATTTAGCAATCGTAAATTTAATCGTAAAGTTAATTCGCGAATTAACTAAAATAATTAGGGTATTTATAAACCCCTACTAACATTGTAAAAACTAATGAAAAAAAGTGTATATATTTGGATATTATATTTAGGAAACATAAGTTCTCTAAAAACTGACAGAATTAAGATAACTTTGACAAATTCGTCAAAGTTATCTGCGTCAGCACCGTTCATTTTCTTAATTTTTAATTCTGTCAGTTTTCAGAGAACTTATGTTTTCTAAATATAATATCCAAATATACACTTTTTTTCATTAGTTTTTACAATGTTAGTAGGGGTTTATAAATACCCTAATTATTTTAGCTATAAGAAAATATTAAAAAAGCTAACGGGATAGAAGAAAACCGTGACGGTATACCGCAACGGTAACACGGTAAGATGGAAGCCTAATGTAATGGTGGAAAAGCATGTGTCGTCTTATTATAAAAACAATTTCAAATCTTGTTATCTTTTTTTTATACAATTTGATCATTTCTATAATCTCGCATTATATAATTATAATTATATATTGTAAGACTATTTTATAATATTAACAAGAATCACATTTATGTAATGATCTCCAATGATTGGAGATCACGTTCTTGTCAGTTTACAGCTGTATGTTACTATTCCTAGCTTTGTATATATATGTTATAAAGTGAAATAAAAATGATTCATTAATTATTATTGATTAATAGTAAAATAATAATAGTTAGTTACTATTAATATATAATATTTACTTAATACAATAATCTTTAAAACAATTATAATATCAGCTAAATGTTAATATTATTATAAAATTTTAGCAATTAAGTGTAGACATTTCTGTTGAAATAATTTTACAAAAGTTAAAATATGCATTTATATCAATTAACACTCCAACGATCGTCTGCAATTTACAATGCTGTTCATGGCAATTTCTCAGGCACCAAACTGCAAGAGATTGCTGTATCTAGAGGAAAAGTTCTTGAGTTGCTGCGTCCTGATCCTAATACCGGTAAAGTTCATCCTTTATTTGCCACAGAAGTTTTTGGAGTTATAAGAGATTTAATGGCTTTTCGCTTAACTGGTGGAACAAAAGGTAATTTACAAGACATATTTGATTTTTTACAATACGGCTGTATGTATAATGTAAGCAAAAATATTTGCAATTTTTATTGACATATTTGGTGTAGTGTAATCTAAAAATAAATAAAGAAGGCTTAGAGAATCAGCCATAAACCTTAAAACTAAGTGGGTTTGTTAATATCAATGAGAAAGTAATTCCATAAAATTTCAGCATAAAATCTTTTGTGGTTTATGAGATATCGGTTTTTTCAAAAAAAAAAAAAAAATAATAAAAACATGTTTTGTTCATACTTTAAAGCTTTATATTTTAAAAACAAAATTTCAGAAAACCTTCTAGTTTTTTTAATGTATATAACTCTAGGCTTACTTTAATAAAACTTTCACATTAAATTCTTGAATTTCATATTCTTTCCATAATAGCTACCTAAAAAACTGATAAAATTGTTTTCAAGTATAAAAAGTTGATTTTTGATGAGTCAATATACAAAACTAGCAGTTTAAGAAGTGAAATGAAATTTTTTTAGTTTCTATATATGGTAGGCTTCTAAATTTTTAGAAATTTTCTGATAAGATACAATTCAGTAAATAATTATAGACCTCTGAAAATGGCTGCGGCAAAAACTTAGGGAAATGTGCCTTTACTTCAAACCAATGGTAACCTAAAATCAACACTGGTTTTAATAAGATTTTTTTTCTTCTAATTTAATAGACTTTAATACAAAGGTTTCAGAAAAAAAAAATAGTAGGTAAACATTGGGAAATTACAAAATCAGAACAAAGAAAGTTATTCAAAATGCATTAAAAACAATTAAAAAAAGTTATTGTTGTACTTTATTGTTTGTATTATATATTGTAATACAAAGTATGTTTGAATTTAAAAGTATTTCATAATCAGTACTAGAAATAAGTCTTTAATTAAGGCTGAATTAAACTCAGTTTTTAAATAGCCCTAGTTCTTTTCTGCCCCTCCCCCTCCCTCGTCCATTTATTTTTTAATATTCACATTTTATCCCAGAACTTAGAAAAAAATTGTAATAGAACACTTCTCCTTACACGGTGTGTCTGGTTTTATATCTGATGTATGAAGTGCCTTTGCCTAAATAGGTTCGGACTATTGTAATTGTAATTGTAAAAATTAAATCTAATAACAATTACAATACAATAATATTGTGTTGTGATACCAGAGATGTAATTAAAATATTATTTATGGTTATTGTATTGCTGTGAATAAAAACAGTTACAATAACTATTCGTCGGCTCGGGATGCAATTGTCGTATCGCAAATTTATTAAAATTATATATAAATATGTAATAACGTAATTTATGTAAGTTTAAAGTTATGTAAATATAAGAAATTATTTAATATAAATTATTTAATATAACGTTTTAAAAAAAACTTTTTCATTAATATATGATGTTAAATTTACATATATTAGATAATTACATATTTATATATAACTTTAATAAATTTGCGATATGACAATTGCATCTTGAGCTGACGTATTGTTTTTTTTTTTTTCTAACAATGTATTGAAACTCTAAAACTGTTGTATTGTATTGCTGTGATGTAAAACAATTACAATAACTATTGTATTGTATTGCTGGGATAAAAAACAATTACAATTTTATTCATTTTGAGCAGTGAAGCCATATATATATATATATATATATATATATATATATATATATATATATATATATATATATATATATATATATATATATATATATATATATATATATATATATATATTACGTATACTTTGTAAATATTAGGTTCTGGGGCGCTCATGGCACCCGTTTCTAGCAACTATTTACATATATAAATTTTATTTATTTTGAGTTCAATAATAAAACTGTTTAAAAAATAATTTATTTAGAATTAACATTAATAATATTCATTCAAAATCATACAAATATATAATTTATCATATGCTTGTAATTAAATAATTATTTACTTTGAGAAGTGAAATTTTTTTTTTCCTATAATTTTGTCTAAACTAGTATTGACATGTTTCACCAGATGATGACGTCTAAATTAATTGATTAAATACATAATTGTTTGAAAATAATTTTTTTCTCGATATAATTAACTGCTAATGTGTAATAAATTACAGCATTATGGAATCAGAGAACCATTGACCTGGGTAATTATTGATTAGATTGTCTAAAAATGTGAATTACTTTTGTTTTGTAAAAATATTTTCTACATTTTCAGATTGTTCATCACCTATCATCACCTATCAGACCGTACCAGTAAATTTTGTGGAGATCATTTTTGAAAACAAGGCAGTTTAGAATACCAAATAAATATTGTTCTTGATTTATGTAACAAAATTCTTTTATAACTTTGCAACTAGATGTCCAGTTACTTCATGAAACACAAACAGCCATAAAGCCTCAGGGAAACAAAAGACAAAGTTATATTAGAGTAAGTGTGAGTTAAGTAAGTTTCCAAACAATTGGATAGGTGCTTAATGTAAAAGCAAATAACTAAGTGGAAGAAATAGTAGTAATTGGTCATGTCTACCCCCAGTAGTAAAAGAAATACAAGTCAGATTAAACTCACTTTTATAGTGCTATATAAAGTTTGCAACGAGAACAAGTGACAATCAATAGATTGTTAAAACATTTACTAAATTTTGACATTAAAATAATTTTTTTTATTGCAATAACAATATATTATTATTGTATTATAAAGACAAATTACAATACAATATTTATTGTTATTGTAGTGGGTCATTACAATACATTTTTTTTTAGATATTGTTATTGTATTATGAAGATGAACTGCAATACAATATTTATTGTTATTGTATTACAGTATTACAATAGTTGTAAATCACAAGTATTGTTATTGTTTCTAAACTTAATAAAGACCTCTTGGCATTAGTTGTATGTGACTATTGGAATGCAATTATCTTCTTTATGTGGTCCAGTAAAATGTTTAAGGAAATAGACTGCTTCATGAACTTGATAAAAACATCTTAATTTTCTTTAGATATTTCCACATTGAAGACCATTTTGTATCATGAGTGCAAGAGTGGCAAAAAGCTCTCCTAAAATGAATATGGCAAGCTATGTGAGCTGCTCTTCTAAACAGATTTTTAGGAGAGCTTTTGGTTTTTGCAAGAGCTATCTTTTTTTAAAAGTTTATTTAAAAAGCTGCTTATTAATTACAAAATTTTGGTTTTATACTTGTTAAAAGCGCAGAGCGCCACAAATTTTTGTTTTTTAATGAACATCTAATTTAAGAGATAAGTCATATAAGGAAGTTTTATTTTTAAATAATTTTTGTTCTAGTTAATAAGTTATTTGATAAAGACACAGTTGCGAATCATCTTTATTTAAATAAATTCATAGCCAACAGGGATTTGTTCGCAATAGAGCAGGGTTGGCAAAGTGAAATCTCTTTTCCGTGCTGTTTTTTGATTTCTTCTTGGAGGACGTCATTTTTGACTGAATATTTTTGAAATAACTTTACAGTTTTTTGGACTTTTGTGATGACAAGATTGCAAGTGCACTTTCTCTTTTATTTTCATTCATAGCAGCATCAAGAAAACTGACTTCGGTGTCAGATTCGGATTCGTCACTGCTGACTTCATCTTCATCACTTGTTACTTGAAATGTGTTGTTATCGATTTTTTGGAAAGACTTCTCATACAGCACTTCTTGAACTGCCAAATGAACTACATAAGTGTAACATGTTTGATGCTCAGTTGGAACTAGTTTTCCAAACTTAACCATCGTGGAAGCTCCATCCGTAACTGCGCAGACAATGTTGTCACTAATGTTCAACCTGAATTCGGCCACTTTTTCTGTGACAACTGCTGCAGCTTTTTCAGCTGGCAGTGATCCAGAAATTCGAGTCAAGCCCAGATTCCAGAGTGTGTGTTTTTGATGAATATTAATATTCATGTACCTTCGATTTTTCAAAGAAGTGTCCTCATCCAGTGTGATTAAAAAGTGTTTTTCATTGTTCACTAAAGATTTAAATGTGTTTTTAAGGTCATTTCTCACACCAGCTGCAAACTTTTTAACTGATTGGATCACTTGCTTGTGATTTTTTGGAAAATCATAACCTTTTTGACACATGGCAGATCAAATGAAAGAGCTGTTAACAATGGCGTGGAAACTAAATCCATTCAGTGCTGTAAGTCTTGAAAGCACTTCTTCATTTGGTTGCTTTGGGAAAAAAGTTGAAATCTTAGGCTTTTTTGACTCTGTTTCCTGCTTTTGTTGTCATCTTTTCCTGTGTTTCTTTTTTGGTTTCATGTTTTTTGTCTACATTCCAGTTGTGGAACTTGAGTATTTACTGGTATTTCCACATATTTTGCAAGACTGCTTTTTCTTTGTTTAAGATGTGTTTCCAAATGTCTGACATTTTGATCAAAAGCTAATCAAATTGATTGATAAATGCAGCAATAAATATATCACAAAAAAGTAGTTAATATAGCACAAAAAAGTAAATCTTTATTAAAATGCTCAGACAAAACTTAACCAAACAGTTTAGTTGATACGAAAGTGATTATTAAAATTTTAGTTTATTCAATAGGCTATTTCAGACCTTTTTAAAGTATTTAAAGCATTTTTGAGCATAATAATTCTGATTGCCATCTTTGTTTTTTAAATTTTTGTTATAGAGACAAACAAATAAACAAGGTAGAGGAGTTCTGATTTATGTAAAGGAAAACAGTATACATAACATTATGAATGATATGTGGGTTTCTGACGGTGATAAAGAAATCATAAAAAAATTTTAAAGAATAGA